CGGCCCAGCCCAGGCTAGCCTCGGCTGCGAGGAAGCACCGCGCGCGTCCCGGCCCGGGAGGAGGCGGCTCGGACGCCGCTCCCCGCTCGCACCAACGGCCGCCGCGAGGCACCGAGGGCGGGGGAGGCTGCCACTCGCAGCCGCTGCCTCGCCTTGCCTCGCCTGCGCATGCACGCTCCTCCCCCTCCCCCTCCCAGCCAGCCCCGCCTCCGCTGGCCGCCGGCGCCGGAAGTGAGATCTGCTGCCGGGCGAGCACGTGGGGGGCGGGGAAGCTCGAGCTGCTGGGGGCGCCGTGCCTGACCGAGGCTTTGAGTTGCCTTTCGCTCCGCGGTTGTTAAGGGGTGACGGCTGCTTGGGTTGCCCCGCGGGCACTGGCCTCCGTAGCAGGGCTGAGGGCTTGTGCACGAGCAGTGCCGCGCTTGGGGCACGTCCACTATGGAGTCACGGGTTAGAAGTATAATCATAAAGAAGTCTACACCCGAAAGCTTGCAAGAAAGAATTTTTCCAACGATTTGAGTTGGTCTGATGAAAGAGATCACAGTTACCCAAAGAGACGTGTCTGCCTGTGTCCTAGACCAACACAGCTACAACCTGCACCCCTGGATCATAAAGAAGGAGCACCGTTGGAGGTCCTCTAGTGCAGTGTTTCTCAACACTGAGTGCGCCTCCCTCTGAGATTGGCCACTGCTGATGCTCCAGGCAGTCACCACTCGCCACACAAACATGCACACACCCGCTGACACTGCCGCAACTGCCTGAGGGTTGTCCCTGCTCAGCCCACCCTCACCGCTGGTGTCACTGCAGCCACCTGTGGGCGATCCCTGCTCTGCCCACTCTCACTACTGATGTTGCCGCCAATGCCCCTGTCACTGCCACTGCCGCCACCTGCAGGCGGTCGCTGTGCCCTCCCAGCCTCAGGAGGCAGGACTCATTCATGCCAGCGATTCTCAACCTCTTTTGACCCAGGACCCATTTGTGAACACGGATAGGTAGTCCCAACTCACTGCCCCTCACTCCCAGTCCCACAGTGTATGGGGTATGGGGGGGCCCCAAACAGCCCCTTGCAGGCTGGAGCTCTGCCAGCCTGCACGGGAAAAGCCACAGTTTCCCACAATTTTCGCCTTTAAAGGAGAATCTATTTTTAAGTTTGTTGATCCATTCTTAAAGTTTGTTCACGACCCTTTCCTATATTCTTGCAACCCATTTCTGGGTTGTGACCCCCTGGGTTGCCTGCTTGGAAGTTCAAGATATGGCTGATTTCCCCCCTCCATATTTCCCTTGTCTTGCCTTTTTCTCTTTCGTCAAATTAATCTTTCTCTTTAACCAGACTAGGTTTTCATTAAAGCCTTGGGTACAATATAGGGACTGTTTCAGATTGCCTTTCCCCCTCTGCCGCAGTGAAAAATGGCTGGTTCTTCTGTTAAAGGGCCTGATCTTGTTGACCATGTCCAGATAAAACTGCAAGGAGAATTGAAATAGGCTGATAGAGTGCATTAGGATCTGACCTGTGCAGCGGCATTAAGAACTTCCCTCTTAAGCAGGGTGACCATATGTCTCGTTTTAGCCAGGACAGTCCTGGATTTCAGAGGCTGGTCCTGGCTGGCTGTTGGGAATTATAATAGGCATCCCAGTAACACAGGGGTGCAGGGCACAGTCTGGCCAGGAGTTGGAGTAGCATACAGAGCCTTGCAGGCAGGCAGGCGCCAATGCCTGCCAAATACACAGCCACCCCCCAGCCAACTTGAGAGAGCATTGGCAGGGGAGGGCAGTGTCCCAGATTTCCTTGATGATGCCCTGGTTTCCAGGCTTTCCATATTGTCAGCCTATCTTAGGAAAAGAGCTAGGGTCTATTTATTAATGCCTAGAAGTTATCAAAACCTAGACTTTAAGTAAAGTCTAGCAACTCCAAAAGAAGTGTCCAGTAACATAACGGTAGGGCATTGTTCAAGATCTCCTTTGTACTACAAGGAAGGGTTGTGCAGGGGTTCAAGCCTTCTTGGGGACTTGTTCCAGGGTGTTAGATTTAACTCTTGCAGGACCATCACAAACATTACCATTTCCCACTCCAAGACCAATGTGGACTTGCAGAGTTAACCATATACATTAGAAGTTAGTCATGTCACTGAAGGCATTGTTTGCAGGGGCAGAGAAACAACAGTGATGAAAACATCCTGAATAGAATAGACTTAGAGAGGAAAGTGTCTTCTATGGACTCCCTAATATTATTTCCTGTAGTATCAGTGCGTGCCATGAAGATTTTCAGTCCAGGTATTGACTGGACCTTCTTGGGAATTTTCTAGCAAAAGAGTCCCATTGCAAAATTTTATGAAAATGTCTTGGCTTCAGCAAACTTTGTTGAGTCACAAACAGGTCTCTGATAGAACCCTGTCTGGTTTCTTAGTGGGTTATTGGACAGCCAAGGTTTGAGGGGGCTGACAGTTCCTGGGCAGCTCCACCCTCTGGGGCCAGGAGCTCAGAGCTGCCAGATGACCGAGCCATCTGGCTTCCAAAGCTGCCTGCTCAGGAGCTGCACAGCGTGAGAAGCCAGCTGGTCCAGGAGAAAAAGTCCTTGGGTCTGAAGACTGTGGCAGTTTCTAACAAAAATTGACATTTTTGTCATCTAATAGCAGTGAAACTGATAAAAATGTCAACTTAAGTCAGCACCAGCCTGGGTCTCCAGGAGCATAATTCACTTTGGAAACACCATGTGCTAATAATTCTGTAAGATTCCAGTTTGCAGGTTTCAAAACAATTAGGGTCAATTCCAGTTTGCACGTTTCATTTAGGGTCAATTCCAGCTGATACCAAATTTCAAAATACTGACATTTTTATGACAAACTAGATGTCCCAAGTTTCACCCAATTCTAGTATTGACTCAGAATGGTGCTACTGAGACTGGGAGAGTTTACAGGGTCATGGTAAAACAAAAGGTGGATGAAGGCATATTTCTTTGAAGGTCCATACAGTACAAATGCAGCGGGCATGCAATTTCCCTTCTTTAAGAGGATGATATCATACCTTTAGTTAACAAAATGTAATGTGGGAGCCATAGTATGTCACTTACATGATACAATACAATCACATTTTGGACAGCTATAATGAGGTTTTGACAAGAGCTCATAACCCTTGATCCTTCAACAACTAGAGATAGGATGGACAGCAATGTTAGCTGCCAGTTCATTCAGGAATCTTAAGAGACAAAGATTTGAAATCCTGCAGGTAATCTTTCAAAATTACGCAGACAAATTAGGGTTCACTTAAGGGTTTTGCTGCACTCATATTTAGGGACCTACATAAATTGCAGTGAGACAAAGGGTTTTTTGCAGTCTGCTTGTAGCATGCAGTGCTGATTTTGGGGGCATTTTTGCAACAGCACTGCTCCTTGGCATGGATTGGCAGAAAGGTGCTGCCCCTCAGTGCTGATTGGTGGAGAGGCCCAGGGGAAAGATGACAGGAAAGCTGTCATCTTCCAGTTTTCACCCTGCAAGCCAGCTCCTTGCCCTGGCAGTGAGGACCACTGCTTCCATTGGGTAGCCAGCATTTTATTAAGTTTTTTTGTTGTTGATTTTGCAAACAATCCCATAGTTCATAGTTTCCATGAAATCTGTGAAACTGCAACTTTCCCTATGTACAGTTGGCAATAAAACAAATAGGATTCATCTACTGAAGTGACATGTTGCCATACAAAGATGAAAGCACAGATATATCTATTTACTTTTACAATTCCTTTTGTATAGTCCTTGCAGTCCTTTTATTAATTGAAGAGCAATTTTTCCAGAAGTGACACAGATTCTAATTTAAGTTTCCTTAGATGTGAGTACATGAAAGAAACAGTAATGAAGGGAATGGCATGATCAGCAGCATTTTATTAATTGAGAACATTCCTACAGTGATAAATGCCTGTTACTTAGAAGTACAGTTTTAATTATGCCCTTAAAAAGTAGATGAAGATAAGTTGATAACATGAGTGTACTGTTGGCAAGCAGTATATTTTTCTCATTGGCAACTTGAAAATGATATCTTGTATAAATGTTACTTCAACATTTTTTAAAAATATGTGCTTATTGTTTGTTAAAGCAGAAGATGAAAGCATTGATTTATTTATGTGTTGTTTACCCAGAATAACTACTTTTATAATTAAGCGATTCATACTACTGATAGATGTTCTTAGGTATCACAGTCTGCATATTTGCAGTTGTTCAGGTATAGTCAGCAAACAAGTTTATTACAATTTCACACATAAGTGTGGTATATATATACAGAAATAACCGGTGAAATTATGGATCCTTATGTATAAGCTATTTTGCAAAATTGAGCCACAGTCTAAGTAAAATGTTTCACAGACATTTCAACTATAAATTTTCCACACTAGCTGTCTGCCCTTTTTTGTTCAATGCCAATATTGTCTGCTCAGGTTTCTTACTCAGGATTTTCTTTTCCTTTGTTATTCAAATTTGAGTAAAGTTCCTAATTAAATAGATACTTTTGATAATAAACATTTTAATTAATGAAAAATGTTGTGATCTTACTCCTGGAAACACATGTAACCTTATCCAAGTGAGCAGGTCCATTGATTATGATGGGTTTTTCACCTGAATAAATATATTTAAAAATCAGAACAAAATGCAAAAAATACATTTTGAGATGTATGAAAAGCACATTCATTTCAAGACAGAAAGAATGTAAATGGCTTTTCATTGTCACTATGCCACCTCCTATGTTATACCCCTGCTCCACAAACAATAACATGATTTTTAAAATAGCATTGGGCACAATGAAGAAAGAATATCACTACACTAGGAGTAATAAACAAGGAATATTTTCTAACAGTGCAATCTGTTGATTGGTACCTATTTTTTTTCCTTTTGTCTTTCTTTATACTTCTTCCTGTATTCCCAAGGGAAACCCGTATTGTGTGATGCTCACAAGTTAGGCCCCAGTAATATAAACATTTCTGCACGTACACAGATGTATTATTTCTGCTCACATCTCCAGTAAAATGTCACACCCATATGGCTCTTCCTCCTGTCCATGAAGGACCATAATCAAAACTATTACCCAAGGAGTGAGGCTGCTTGCCTCTCTTTTTTCCCCCTCCTAGTATGTGAACAGCAGAAAGAGATGGAACTCAGAGTCTTGCTTATGGTGTTCAGTTTCCCACTGACAGGT